GAAATAATGAACTTTTCCCATTATTGTACAAATTCCGTGTTTCATATATGGAACTTATACAGTAAAGAAGTTCCACCTAATTACTTTACAAATTATGTGTTTGATACATGGAACTTATATAGTAAAGAAGTTCCACCTAATTACTTATGTGTTTGATACACGGAACTTACAGAGTAAATAAGTTCCACCTAATTACTTTACAAATTCTGTGTTTGATACGTGAAACTTATATAGTAAATAAGTTCCCCCCAAATTCTATGTTTGATACATGGAACTTATACAGTAAAAAAGCAACTTCGTTCCTCAAACCCTATTATGCCTCCCTTTTTATATTTATATTTGTACTGTTAATTTATATTTGTGTTTGTACTATATTATATTATATTATATATTATATAATAAAAATAACTATTAATAAAATAATATATTATATATAATCCAAATATATATCAATAAAATAAATACAAAATATACTAGATTATGTATTATATTTCATTACATATATTATATGTTATATATTTATGTAATATAATATCTTTTATTATATATATATTGAAATTAAATATAAAATATCTCAATGTCGAGATGATCGATTAGAGAGTTTATTCAACACTTAAACAACATTTCCGATAGCTTTTTGAGGTGCATATGTGATTCTACATTTTAAGGTTGCAACCTAATATAAACTTTTCCCATTGTTTTATGTCTAATATAATAATAATATTTAAAAAATATTTAATATATAATATTTAAATAAATATGACTTTATATTTCAGCAGGTTGTCAAACACAGGTACCTAGAACTTCTTTAACATTCCAACAAGTTATAAAAAATATACACTCAGAAATTCCTTTAATTGTAGAAGCATATATGATGACCGAAAAGCCATGCCCATTTTATAATAGGCTTTTTTTTTTTTTAATAAAAAGAAAAAACATTTAATTTTTGTTAAAAAATTAGAATGCGTATGGGGGACATGATAACCAAAAACCCAATTCAACCGCTATGCATAATATTGATATCTAACCAATTCGGTTTTTTTTAAAAAAAAAATTTAAATTTTAAAAATAAAAAATGGGCAGTTTTATCCTTTTTTTTTTTAAAAAAATGTTATGAAATTGAAAAAAAGATACATTTGTGTAATAACGAAAAGTTTAAGGTATTTTCGTTATAACAAAAAGTATAATGGATATTTACGAAATTTTCCCTATTAAAAAGTGGGGAAAGTTTAAACCACTAAGGGTTAGTTTGGATAATATCGGAAAAATGGCTGGGTTATATTGTCCAGAATCGACTGTTGATTCTAATCTAAGTTAATGAGACGGTTTTTTGCTCGGACGGATTTAGGTTTTGTGGTCATCTCTTTCTCTCTCTAAAAGTCTCTCAAGAATCAACTGTTGATTATAATCTAAGTTGAGGGGACGGTTTTTGCGCGCACGGATTTAGGTTTCGTGGTAATGTCTTTCTCTCTCTAAAAGCCTCTCTTTCTCTCTCTATAAGTCTCAATCTTTCTCTCTAAAAGTCTCTAAATGCATGTGCGAAGTCCTCTCTTTCTATCTCTAAATGACTAAATGCATGTAAACAGCTGTATTGAAAAGTGGAAACAAAAGTCCAATACTAAATGCACGCTTATCTCCTTTTTCTTAGCGAAAAAGAACGGAAAACGAGTTTGAAGCTCCCTTCTTCTCTAACTAGCAGTGGAAACTCGGACGGTTTCTCTCTCTGGGAATAACATATGATTCTTTTCTTTGACTCAAAACCCAACTCTCACGCACTCAAGAATCCGTCACCAAATATACCTGTTCCCTCTCCAGGTTCTTTTATAATTTATACATTGCATCTTTTTCGATTCTTTACTTTATAATTGTTCTCTTCTTTTCATTCATTAAAAAATTGGTTTTTTGCTTTCCTTTTTCTCTTTTTCGAATTGCTTACTTTGCAGGGTGGATTGGTACCTGGTGAATATTTACTCTGAGAGAGAGGAATCTTTTTGAAGTTTCAGAGTTTGATAGAATAGACGTCTTTTTGAAGTTTCAGAGTTTGATAGAAGATTATCATGAGCAGTTCCTGTCGTTTAGCAGTGGTGAGTACTTCTTCAATATAGTTTATTGAAACTTTCAAAAAAAAAAAAAGTTTATTGAGATTCACTAATTTTGCAGATTGTTGTTTTCCTTAATTTTCAGTTCAGAATCCATCTGCTGAATTTTTATTTGAATTTTATCTTCAGTATTGTAGATTATGTTGGGTGGGTTGCTTTTTTTTTTTTTCATGGTTTGAGGAAAAGAGAAGCTTTAATCGTTTGTAAAACTGGTATTTTTAAACCCAATATAAGGATTAACGCAAATAAATTTTTTTTTGAGAGATGGATCAACACAATATTAAGTTTGTACTTCATTATAGTTGCCTTCTTTTGATTATGTTTATTTGAGTTGGGGTAGCATTTTTATTTGTTTTACAGAGAATATTGCCAAAAAAAAATAAAAAAATAAAACTATATAAGCAAACAATCATGTATTTCTTTACTTTTTTACTGAGTATCCTTCTAGCTTATAAACACCTCAAAACATGAGAAAGTTGACACTGTTTTCTTGTGTAATGTCAATTCTTTTAAATTATAATTTTTGTTTTAGATATGTCTGCTTGATTGTGTTGAATATGCGTGCTCATTCAAACATCTGTTACGGGCACATTTTACTCATGTATATGTGTGGTTATGTAGAGATAGAAAATATGTTTTGCAATTATGATTGATTTTTCCTTATTTTTGTGTGGTTACAGGTTCCTCTTTTTGGAGATCTGAAAAACAAGAAATCATGGATGTGGATACTTGTCCCTTCAGCCTTGTTACTTATTCTAGTTTATTTCTTTGGAAGTGCTTTAATTACCTCTGACTATACTAAAGTATGTATCTTTGCTTTCGTGAGAATTGTTGTATATTTTCTTGATTAAGTTTGTATTGATGTGTCAACGAAGTTGTTGCATAATGATTAATCCAATGATTAATTCCTTTCTATCAATAAAAATTACATGTGATAGTTTCCCCTGTATATGAAACTTCCCTCGAGAAGTATTGCATATATTTTGTTCAGTGGGTTGTGCCAGTCAGATTATAGGTGATATGATTTAATGTTATTCTTGGAATTGCTTTGTATATGTGGGATGATAGACAATAGCTCTCTTCATATGATGTCGCAACATGTTTGTTTAGTAACTGTTTATGTTATGACTCTGTGCTATCTATTTGTGCTGGTTGAAACATCTTTTGAGCACAAATGTTGCATTTTACGTGAACTTTTCTACAATTGGATGGTTATATCAAGGGCCATAATGTTTCATTGATGTTCAACCCGAGTAGATGTGATTTTCAGTACTCCACGAATTGCAACTGTTTCATGAATTTGTTAATGAATTAGGATGAGTTTGATCCATATTTTACTGTTTGAGCTTCAAATTGCAAGCTATGAGCGCAAAATGGAGCACAACTTGAGAAACTGTGGCTGAAAATGAAGTGGTTGCTTATTGCTTCAGAGGAGTACTACTTTTCATACTTGATCTCCACCTATTGGCCTTGTATGAATTGACTTGTGACTAAGATAGAACTACTCAAAAGTTCTTTAGGTATAGATAGTCATGCTGTCTCTCTCCTCACTGGAAGTATCTATAGAATGTGCGAGACCTGAACTCATTAATCTGAAGCTTCACATGGAAGTTATCCCATCTGCATGCATATTTATACTTTTCTTTGTTGCAAATAATCATCCTTGTTAGGTTTGCTGAAAGTCAGCAGCCTAAAGTTGTTATGGATAGATGAGATGGTAGCTCTTGAAATTCCATGGTTGTAAATGGAGTAGCAATTTGATCATGCTTAGGGGGGGGGGGCTTTCAGATTTTAGGGATGGGAGGGAAAAAAACAAATGACTAAGTTGTGGATAAAAGGCAATAGGATAGGAGAATGGAAAGCTAATTGCGTTAAGATGCTTATGTTGGGGAATGGAATCACGTAGGAGTTAAGGGTGGTCAAGCAGTATAGGTTTGTTTGGAAAGATTTGCTACACATTACGAGGTTTGGGATAATTATGTGTTTGGTACTTTTGCCTACGTGAGTTGTTGTTACTGGTATGGTCGGTATCAATTTGAGGTGGACTTATTAATGGGTGAGCCTGGATAGAATGATATTCTTATTGAAGGCATCATAAGCTTTGACATCATTTGTTTCATGAAGGTGTCGAAACTCAATAGGTCAATACAGTCCATCTGATCGTTGTATATCCACATCCCTAACTTATAACCTCATAAACCGCATATCTATAGTACACTTGTAGCCAACATATGTTTCAATTGCTTGCAGTTGAATTGGGAACCAGTGTCTAAACCTCCAAGTGTGTTTGGAACTTTTATCCATATCTGATATCAGAACCTTGATTATTTCAAATTCTATTTTATTTTGAAAGCAGTTGCATTTGGATTCGAAATATCTAAATTCAATCTTTTGGGGAACACCATTGGAAATTATCATATTAAACTATTAACTCAAGCTGTTCAAGTTAATCCCTGCCCTCCCACCCAATTTAATACTGATCCTTTCTTTAATCTTCAAAAACTCTTCTTGGTGCCGAAATGGACCATGCAACCCATAAACTCTCTTATAATTATTAAAATCTTATAGTGATCTTGCATTCATCTTAACTAAGAGTATCTTGCCATGGGCCAATCTATTTGGGCCTTGAAGTGTTTTAAAAAGAGGTTTCAGGCAACTAAAGCTCACCCTTTCAAATCTTGAAGTATTTTTAGAGGTTAGAGATCTTCAAGTTTCGGACTAGGGTTTATGGGTAATTATATGCTTCTCATAAGATATTTATACATATTGGGCTTTCTATTTTTTGTTTGTGGTATTCAGTATTTCAAAAAGCGCTAAGCGGCACCTAGGCTGTCGGGGGTGTCCAGGCCACCCAGCGCTTAGGCGAGTGCCCAGAACTTGGGCGGCCCAGTAGAAATTTTTTTTAAGGGGTTTTTCTTTCTCTAAAATAGGCTCTAATGGGTTTTAGGTTTCAAATAACCCATAATTTTGCACCTTTAGTATTAAAAAAAAGACCCAAGAATACCCTCAACAAGGGGCATTTCGGCCCCTGGGCGGGGTGCAGGCCTTGGGCGGCCGCCTAGGCGAGTTCCTGAGCGCCTAGGTGGGCGCCCAGGGATATCCGCTTTTTTTGGGCGCCTATCGCCCAGGCCCCCAAAACAGCCTAGGCGTTGGGCAGTCCGCTTTTGAAACTATGGTGGTATTTGTAATTTATTTCATCTTTGGAAGAAGGAGATGACTCTGATGATGATGGCCTGGCCATGGCGCCATCATTAGCTTCAGATGCATTTGGTGATGGAAGGGACCTTGATAGAGCTGGCGATGATGATTGATGAAACAAAGTGTGCTTTATGAGTTCATCATATATGTTTGAAACATTGGATGCTTTTTGTACAAAGACTTCAAACTTTAATATTTTTATCATTTTATGAGTCGTGGTGGTTTCTATATATGATTTTCTTTAGAGTTTGACTATTTGATACAATTTATGATTTATGAACATATGGGTTTACTAGTTGGTTTCCTTTTTCCTTTTTTTTCGTTTTTTTTTTGAAATTGGGTATTTTAACTCATATCCCTATTTTTTTTTTTTGACATTTGGGCACCCATCTCTCGGGTCGCCTGACTAAGCGGCTGCCTAGGTGGCCTAGGTCCCTCATCGCCTAGGCGCTGCCTGGCGAGTTTTTTCAACCTTGTTGGTGAGATAGGTCGTTTGGACGATTCAATCGACCTCCGTATGAATGGGAAGGAAAAACCAGAGAGAGAAGGTGGTGGGAAAGCTGGGTAGGATAGTAGTCCTCACATGGGTGAGCATAGAAACCTTCACTCTCCTACTCTTTCAACTGGAGGATTTTAGGAGCATTGGAATGGCGGTGATGGATTATCTTGAAATAGTGCCAAATGTTCGGTTGGTTAGAGTTGATTCATCATCCTAACATCTTTTATCTGCATCCAAACTTAATTGTGGGCACAATTATACTTTTAGAAGGCTTTGAATTATAAATATATATAGAAGTTAATTGATTGAACCTTATCCTTACTAATTTTCAGTTAACTACCCAACTCTAGGTGTACTATGGGGGTTCTAGAATCGTCTAATGTCTATTTAAGCTTTGCATCTGAAAAAACATTGTTAGAAAAATGATAGTGTATTGGATGCACCTCCTAGCTGTACGGAACTTTGATGTGACAGCACTTGTACACCTTTTAGATGCTCACTGTGGTGTTTGCATTCGTCATTAGATGCTTCAATGGCTTACTTCAGATTATGGCTATTGTGTGATCCCTTGCATACCTCGTGTAGGTTTTCAAAGCTCCTCCATTAACTCTAGCCCGAGGCTAGTTGGTGACCTTAGATAAGGTCAATAGCTAGCTAGCTTCACCACCGTGGGATTTGGATTTGCAGTTTCTTACTTATGTTGGGATTATATGTGTGAGGCCGGAGTGGGATTATTCGCGTTAGCAACTCCAATGAGGTCTCTTTTCATCATTTACCTATGGAGGCTTTTGATTTGGAATTTTGGACGATTAGGTAGGTTAGGACATATGTGGGATTAATCTCTCTTTCAACTGGGGGCTCTGTTCCTCTTAGTATCTGTGCATTCCCTTCCATCTTTCTGGATCTTTCTTCTTTTGTCCTTTTGTTATTGTTGCACATCTTTAAATATCTCTGTAGATGCCGTACAATTTTAAGAAAGTGTCAGTTGTTCTTGTTGCATTTATTTGATGAAGTCTTGGACATTCCACCTAAGTGTCTTAGTTGTAGGCACTTCCAAAGCAGTGTCACAGTGTTTGGCACTTCCAACGGATATGGACCTAAGGTCCAAGGAGTTCCATGAAGTGTCAACAATTGTTGCAGAATAGATGTGTGTCAACATGCAACACAAATGGGAAAGATAAGTCTTGGGGTGGCGCTGCTTCAGTTGAAGTTTGAGCTGAGAAGCTCTTTGCTGCAGTTGCCCAAACTTATGCTAAAAATCACTTTAAATTCTTTAAAACCTGCCTTCCAGCTCATGTTTTTGGTAGCAAATATTTTTAAGAGTTCTTTGGGATGGGGGTTGTGGTCGATTGATGGGCAATTCAGGCTTATCATTTAATTATCCATCTCTTAAGTAATTCATGGATTAATATCAGAAATTGATCTTCTCAAATAATGCTACCTAGTCCAAACTGTTCAGCTTTAGTGTTTAACTTTTGTAGTTTCTTTTCGTTTCTCGGTATTTTATTGTAAGTTGCTTCTAATTTTAATAAGATGATTTAGGACTTTCAGTCAATTTGCAAATATCATTTCATTTTACCTTAATTCGCATTGCTAGTGAGTAATTATGAGTTGTCCCATTTGGTTCTTTATATAAAGGCATCAGACCTTTTTACTAGTTCCAAGTGGTAAAACTGCTGGATCCCCTGTGAGAAACCAATCCGTGCTTGAAGCAGGCCTGGCTTGCTCTTAAGCCTCCTATTGGTAGGAATCACAACCAACAAGAGGATACATAGAGAAGTATGTGATGTGGTGGAATACTTGGATTTTTTGATGTTCAGCTGGTTTTGTGGGCTTACTTATCGACCGGTTTTCTTTTATTTTCAAAGATTAAGCAACTAATGGACTAAGATTGCATCATCATCCTCATCATAGCCTTTTCCCAACTAATTGGGGTTGGCTAATGGACTAAGATTCCATAAGCCATGTACTTTTTCCTAACAAATTGTGGTTCTCCATGCGATTATTGCGACAAGTGGTGGAGAGAGGAGGGGGTTCTATGTTAGTTTGTTCTAGTTTATTTCCCTGAGAGTTCCATTTAGATACTGTATTATTTCCTTGAGCTTAAAAGTGCATCTTTCCAAGATGCTGATTACTGTCCATCAAGAAATGATTGACTAAGAAATCTAATTTGATTCTGCGATATTTTTATCTTATTGAAAAAACAATCTAAAATGTGCTTATAATTTGATGAAAAGTAGAAGTCTTAGTTCAAATCATCAAATTCCATGAGACCTTCTTTGCCTTTATTCTTTAAATGCTGTTTAATATAGAATTTGATGAAAATTAGAAGTCTTAGTTCAAAAATCATCAAATTCCATGAGATCTTCTTTGCCTTTATTCTTTAAATGATGTTTAATATATATGTTCACACTTCATACTGGTAATTGAAAGAAACTTACAGGCTTTATATTGCATACACTTTGTCAAGTTGAGATTTAGTTCATAATTTCATGAGAGCATTTCTTTTTTTTCCAGACAACATTGCAATGGGAGGTTGTTAGTTCTTCACCGACCTCACAATCTGATCGATGCAAGGTTCAAAACAGGCTTCAATTGTTAGGAATATTAAATGGCCAATGCACTTTTCATTTTTGTTTGGGGGACAGTGGTATGCATTAATTCATATATATTTTTATTATTATTGTTTTAGGGCCGCTGTATACCTCATGGAACGGAACCATTACCTAGAAGTATTGTTAAGGAAACTTCAGACTTGGAAATGCGGCCATTGTGGGGTCATCCAAAACAAAAGGTAAAGGTATGTGAAAAATGTTCAACTTGCCCAAAATCAAATTGAATATGTGGAGATTTCAGAAATTCGACATGCATGCATTTGTTAAGCTTGGAGAGCAAGCATGCATTGTAATGCATTCCATACCTTCCTTAACCATATGACTTTGAATTACCAAGATGTGAAGGAAAACTTTCACATCCCTTTGAAGGATCCAAATTACTGGTAAGAAAATTCTGGACGCAAATGTTTAGAATATTCTATCTATTTTAGGAATCCATAAAATATTTCTCCATTTTGTGTGCAATTTGGTCTTATTTATTGCATTTATTTTTGCATAATTGATGGTTTTTCCATAGTGTTTGCTGTAAAATCGCGAAATCCTTCTATTTGGTTTGCTTTCAAGATAAGCTAGTTTGTGTTTGCTTTAATCAAATATTTGTTGATGTTAGATTCTTTGGCCTTTTGGGCTTGCTAGCTCAATAAGAAGTGTATTTTTAGCCCGTAGATTTGCGTTATCAAGGATAGGATTGTTAATTTTTCTTTTTCAGGAATGGTTATAGTGAAGCAACTCCACCTCTATCTTTCTCGTTGAAAATTTTAGAAAACCAAGTCCACCTCTCTTCGATTTGTCTCTATGAAAAATCGAAACCAACTCTCTCTAAGATACAGGGCTCAACCCGGGAAGCTCTACCCTACCAATCCCACAACAGGGCTCCCGCGACCGCTCAGAGCTCATTAACCCAACTAGCAGATTGGGCCAATCCAGCCTCGAGGAGTGTATATTTTGATCTCTCAGCTAAGGGCTCTCCCCTCCTCCTTGGACAAAGACATTTTTTTCCATGTTCAAATTGTCTTACTTGTGAACGTATTTTTCTTTATATACTCTTCCCCCCTGTAGTCCGAGCACCCAGCTTGTGGGGTGCCTTTTCTTTTCTCCATCTTGATCTATTGTAATATTTTGCTTTTTTTGCAACAAAGTTAACCACTTTCAAAAAAGATCTCTCTAAGATACAAATCTCTGACTGAAAATTTGCCTAGCCAAATAAGTTCCTCATTCCTCTTCATATCAATTCTGTTTCTAGACTACTTTTTAATTAAAAATGAGCTTGAGATCTGGAAAGATGGAAAGATGTAATCTTATTCCTAAATCTATAATACTAAGGGAGTAATCTTATTCCTAAATCTATAATACTAAGGGAGAAATAAGTAGTGGTGCTTATTTCGAATTATCTCTGTAATTCGTTTACCCCTTCAATTTTCTTGAAATCTCTCTCTAAAACCATAAAGAAAAAAAAGAAAAAGAAAAAGAAAAAGAATTCCTACCAAAGTACTGAACTAGGAATTGCCTACAGAACGAATATATTTTTCCTCAAAAGTTTCCTTATTTGAACTGTATGAAGTATAAAAATAGGAAATTTTACCAAAATGTGGAAATCGCACTAAAACAACTAGATGTCTATCCCAATAGAATAACTATCAATATTAGACAAATAACAGGAATTTAAGAAATAAAATTGAATATGATAAATCAAAGATACCATAATGAGAAAAGTAACTGGCCCACAGCTCTAAAGGATAAATCTTGAACAAATTAGAAATTGTCTTATAAAAAAAAATTTTGGCCAGCTTAAAACTTAATTAAAAAAAGTTAAAAGATCAATTATCCAATTAAATTAATTTCTTTTGCAAATGATTTCCTCTAAGCTGTAGCTTATACCATAGAGTACCATTTGCTAGTATGAGATATGTTTCCTAATTTTTAAGCTTAATTGGCATGGAAAGATATTTTATCAAATTGCTCCTCTATATCATTTCTATCTCAAATATTAAGTAATAGATTGCCCTATTTCCTGGGGCATAATCTTCTCCTGTTAAGTTTAAGTTTACATAAAAAACTAGAGGGTGGTTGGACTAGTTTTCATTAGTTTAGTTCTCAAAGTCAAAATTTATGCTCTGATGGTTGAGGATTTGTATCTCATATTAATGTATAGACAAGTGACAGTTATTTCATTTTCTAGATGATATTTCAGTTGTCTTCTTACTCACACTGACAAGGAATTGATTACTGTCAGAGGAATGCTATGAAGAATTTGCTGGCCATCGCTGTTGGAATAAAGCAGATGGAACTCGTAAATAAACTTGTTAAAAAGGTATTAATTATTTTTCTTTAAATTTTATTTGTTAATGTACAATTCTTCTTTTTCATGACAAAACTATACTACCTGCCTATTGATATTCTGAAATAATCTTATGAAATATTTGGAATTGCAGTTCCTTCCTTACAATTTCACTGTGATGCTCTTTCACTATGATGCTAATGTGGATCAGTGGAGAGATTTGGAGTGGTGCAATAGTGCCATACATGTTTCTGCAGTCAATCAAACTAAGTGGTACATCCAATGTTATTTGAGTAGATGATTATCTTTGAGCAGAGTATTTGATATCAAAAATATAAAAATCCAATGGAACATGTCATATAGTACTTTTAAGGCTTCATCCACCATCCATTGCCATTCATGGATGGTTGGTAATTAAGTGGGGCTTACAAGGACATTCACTTGGGTATAGTTAGTCTCTAGCCATCAGTTTGTGGGAATGGCTGGTGCATGTGGCTTGGTGTTCCATTTTTCATAGCTTATTGCTAAAGTACACTTTCATTGGTTTTGTACTTACATAGACATTCTTTTACTAATTTGCTCTGCTATTGAATTCATAATGACTCTAATTTTACTTTATTGGACTTCTGTAGGTGGTTTGCAAAACGGTTCTTACATCCAGACATAGTTGCTGAATATAAATATATATTCCTTTGGGATGAGGACCTCGGAGTTGAAAATTTCAATCCGGGACGGTATGTAGTTTTTAGTTATATAAAATTTTTCTTATAATTTATTTCAGACACTTTCTCTTTGTAAGGACCCATTCTCCTTTTTTTGTTTACAAACTGGAGTAGATTTTCATTGATTCCCTTGTCAAACTTCCCCCTCATAAGAAGTGTGAAATTTCCCCACTAGAATGAAGGTATATTATGCGGGTTTATAACAAAACCCCTCAAAGTTTCTTAAACCTCTTGTCTTCTTGTTCCAGGATAAAAACTTATTTTAATAACAATTTTCTCCTTCCTTTAAAAGAAAGTATTTTCCACAAACTCAAGATACCTGATATTTTTGGATTTGATTCATCGTTAAGCTATCCATTGCTTACTCCATTACTTATGAAGTACATTTTGAAATATTGCTTGATAATGCTTGAATTTTCTGAAAAATCACATTAACTTAGGAGTGCCTTATTAGTGTTTTTTAAGAAAACAATGTAAATTTTCAGGTATACAGAAGTCTCACATGGGTATTTTGGTTTTGCGTCTATGTCACATGTGGGCATATGCCACACTTAGACCAGTGTTGACATTGTCAGACATTGGCCTGGCACTTTGTCTGTATGTGATGGATGAGTACTGTGACAGCCGTGTGATCCACTCCTGACATGTAATGGCTGCTTGTCAAACATGGCTTTCTTGGTATAAAAATTCAGTGAAGGCTGTAGGAATTGGATACACAACCTCTTAACTTCAAAGTGTGCAATCTATCGCTACAGACGATTGGCAACTATTGGATGACTTCTGGAAATTTCATGATCAATTGACATTACAAAAAGTGTTATTTTTAAAAATATAAAATAAAGGAAAAAGTTTATATAAGGTTGCAACCTTAAAATGTAGAATGCACCTAAAAAATCCATCGAAAAATGTTGTTTTAATGCTGAAAAACCCTCTAATTATTCATCTCGACATTGAGATGTATGAATATGGGGAAAAAAATATATTTTGAATCCTAAAAATAGTGCATCTTGCAAAACATTATCTAGACCGTCCATTTTCAATATTTTCATGTGTTTATAGATCTATTTGATTTTAACCATTTTTGGAGTTAAAATTTTTATAATCAGATATGAAAATAGATTTTCTGATAATCCTAATAATTTTTTACACCAAAATTACATGTTACGATAAAATTTGGAGGTGTGCCTTAATTGGATTGTTTAAGGTCACAACCTTGTACAAACCACACCCTAAAATAAAATACTAAAATGCTTATTTTTTGAATTTTCTTATTTACAGTTATTTTCCTTCTATATTTGACATTTTTGAAAGTTTTATAGTTTTATTTTAATATTTTACAAAAAGTTCAAGTTTTATATAATTAATATATATATATTATGTTTCTACATTAAGAACTTGAATGGACACGCTGAGGCCATATTGTTTTAAGGCACTACGCTTTAGACACAAACTAGGCACTAACACCTGTACCATTGTCTATGTAGCACTGGAATAAAGACCATCTATCCCAAATTTCATTAGCTCCTGTTTATCATTATCCACGTATTCTTGAAAGGATCTTATCATTTCTTTGGATTATATATATAGGGTTATGTTAGGTGCTCACACCATGGAGTAATTTATCATTGTACTCAAAAAAGTTTTGACACTTCTATACCCTTGTTTTGTACAAGGTGCATTTTTGATCATTAGGAGAGGTGTGATGTCATCCACTTAGGGTGTGACGTTATCCATTTAAGCTGTGACATCACCCATATGGAGTACATTTTAGCATTTAATGCTCCATGTGGGCGATCTCACATCCCATGTGGCTGACGTCACACCCCTCCTAGTGACCAAATATAGAAGTGTCCCAAAGTTATTTAGTACAATGATAAATTACTCTATTAAGTGAGCACCCTAACATAAACCATATATATATATATATATATACACACACACACACATATGCTAGTAGTTCAAATGTCACTCGATTTTTATTGCCTTCAAATTTTTTTAGTAGTTAAGAAAAGGAAGAGACCAAATCCTTTTTTGTTTAGGGATTAATAGGAATATGTGAACACTTATAATAAAAGTAGAGTATATGGAATTCATGTTGCATGAGTTATTGAAGAATACTGTTTGCAGTTATTTGTCTATCATACAGAAGGAAGGGCTTGAGATTTCACAGCCTGCACTGGATCCCATCAAGTCCGAGGTCCATCATCGAATTACTTCCCGTATAAGAAATTCTATAGTTCACAGGTGCTGTACTATAATACTAGGGAAAGTATATTGCATATCAATTATGGTACTCGAAGCTACATCCGACTTTCATTTTCTATCGCACGTCGATTATGGTACTCGAATCTGCATCCGACTTTCATTTTCATTGACAGATGGTTGGAGACTAACTATACCTTAGAGAATGCCCCTTTGGGCCCTACTCCATTTAGGGCCGTTTGGATCTGTGGAAAAGGATTACCTAGAAAACTTTATTTCCCTTGAAATGTATTTCTTGAGAAAAATATTTTCTAAAAAATAGATTTCTGCTGTTCTGATGGTACATGGATGCATAAAATTTGCCTGCCTTTTTTTTGAAAACTTTTTTTGTTAACTGGTTTTGATTGTATTATTCATTATAATGTCATTTTTTTAGGGTGCGGTTTGTATAGAGCCTAGGCTCTAAGGTGCGGTTTGTATAGAGCCTAGGCTCTAAACAATCGAATTAGAGCCTACCTTCAAATAGTGTCGAGAAATGTGGTTTCAATACTGAAAATCATTGTGATAGTCTTAAAATATATTTTCATATTTATTTATAAAGTTTAAAGCTTCAAAAATAGTGTAGATAGGTAGATCTATGAAAACTTGTAAATCGTGAAAATTGACAGTCCAAAAATGCGTTACAAAATATACTATTTTCAAAACTTGAAATCCATTTTTTCTCATGTCCATGCATCTTGATGTCGAGATGATCAATTTGAGCATCAAAAGAACCTCTTCTAGTGAAAATTTTGAGGTAGGCTCTAATTTGATTTTTTAGAGCCTCAGCTCTATATAAACTTTTTCCCTTTTTTTAATGTATCATTTTTTATTGAAGTTGAGATAGTTTCTCTAAAAATTTTGAGATAATTTTGCTCTCTAAAAACTTTCAATTAGTTTCTCTCTCTAAAATTTGAGATAGTTTCTCTTTCTAAAATTTTTGAGATAATTTCTCTCTCTAAAACTTTGAGGTACTTTCTCTCTCTAAAATTTGATATAGTTTCTCACTCTAAAACTTTAAGATACTTCCCTCTCTAAAACTTAAAACTATGAGATAGTTTTTCTCTCTAAAAGTTTTGAGATAGATTCTCATTCTAAAATTTTTTAGGTAGTTTCTCTATCTAAACTTTGATATAGTTTCTCTCTCTAAAATTTTAAGATTCCTTCTCTCTCTAAAACTTAAAATTTGAGTTAGTTTCTCTGCCTAAACATTTTGAGATAATTTTTCTATCAAAAAGTTTTTAGATATTTTCTCTGTCTAAGATTTAAAATTTGAGATAGTTACGCTTTAAAAATCGAGATAGTTACGCTTTAAAAATCGAGATAGTTTCTCTCTCCAAATTTTTTCAGGTACTTCCTTTCTCTAAAATTTAAAATTTGAGATAGTCTCTCTAAAACTTAAAATTTGAGATATTTTCTCTTGCTAAAAATTTTGAGTCCAGGTACTTTCTATCTTTAAAACTTAAAATTTGAGATAGTTCCTCTTTAAGTTTTTTGAGATAGTTTCTCTCTAAAACTGAAAATTTGAGATAGGTTCTCTCTAAAATTTTCGAGATAGTTTCTCTTTCTAAATTTTTAGATAGTTTCTCTCTCTAAAATATTTCAAGTACTTTCTCTCTATGAAACTTAAAATTGAGATAGTTTCTCTCTCTAAAACTTAAAATTTAAGACAATTTTTCTCTCTAAATTTTTTGATATATCTTCCCCCTCTAAAACATAAAATTTTAAGATAGTTTTTATCTCTAAAATTCTGAGATATTTTCTCTCTAAAACTTGAAAATTGAAACAGTTTCTCTATGTACAAATTTTGAGATAGTATCTCTCTCAAATTGTTTAGGCAGTTTCTCTCTCTAAAATTAGATCTAGTTTCTGTCTCTAAAATTTTATGATACTTTCTCTCACTAAAACTTAAAATTTGAGATAGTTTCTCTATGTAATTCGTGGGGTGTTTTGGTGGAATTAATTGTATTATATAAAATGGGCGTCTTTGTAATGGGGAAATTTGGTTGGAAATCAATTTCTGAGAGTAAAGGTAAGGATACAGATTTCCTTATTTTTGGCTTGAAACGAGGAACATAATTTATGGCAGAAATACTTTGTCCCAAAATTTTGCTCCAAACCCCAGAAATGTGCCATCTCCAGAGAAAAACATTCCTGAAAATGTATTTCCCGGTATCCAAAAACGGCTCCTTAGTCTCTAACCATCCATCAATGGGAGTGGACAGTGTATGTTTCCTTGCAGTAATATATGCGCTCTGGGTGATGGAACATTCTCCCTTGACTATGCCTATCAAAGTTTTCTTTTATTTTTTCCTTGTTTGTTTAAATTAGTTTCCAACATTATTTGTGTTTGACATCTTCTGGCTGCAACGACATTGTGGCCTTATGGAAAAACTTTGCTCAAATTTATTGAATACTTAAATTTTGTTGACTTTGTAAATGCAGAAGAACATACAAACCCCAGGGTGGCGGGAGGTGCTTCGAGAATAGCACCGCACCACCATGTACAGGGTACTTCAATCTTGTTCTAATCCGGTTGCCTGTGTCCTTGCTCTTTTTTGTTTTGGTTTAATTTGATTCATTTATGTGTGTGTTTTTAAATGCTGATTAGATGCCCTCTAATACAGATGGGTGGAAATGATGGCCCCTGTGTTTTCGAGAGCAGCTTGGCGTTGTTCATGGTATATGGTCCAGGTAAGCAATCATGCTAATGACCCAACAAGCATGTACCATGCTGAGCCCTAAACTCTATTGTAGGTGAAGGCTTATGACCCAGGAAACAATTGGACTTTTTCCTTCTTCCTTCACATAATTTATTAACACAAATTGGGTTTTTCCTCATGCAATAGTTTCTTATTGATACTGCTTTAGATTTGATAGGTGTGATACTGGAATTTATTTTATCTGTTTCGAAGTTTTGAGCACCAAGAGTCTACTCTATTCTCTTGTTTTAAGCAGTAAGGTTTCTTTTATGTTTTTCCTTTTCACATGTAAATTGCTTGTAGATTTCTGTATCTCTATTTGTGCTTCTTTCTTATTTATTTCATCTTACCTTTTCTAGTTTTGGAACTAGGATTATGGACTACCTTCATGCTCCATATGCACTGCCTCTTTATGCAATTCAATTTTGTTAATTACTAGATCCATTTTCTTGTCTTTCTTTGTCTCTTAAGTTTTCCACATCTCTTCGCTTGTATTGTGTGTGCATTTCATATATTGATTTCCCTAGAAAAGAAATCAGTGACATGCTTGTTACTATTTATGAAATATGTTACAGAAACAAACATGGGAGAAAGGGAGGGAGGGTTCATAAAGATGGATCAAAGATGATATTCTCTTTGATAAGATGCTCCTTCTCACTTTCACCTGCTTATGTTCCTTCTTATATTGGCAGAATGACTTGATTCATGCATGGGGACTGGACAAGAAGCTTGGGTATTGTGCACAGGCAAGTCTTACAATCCCCAAGTCTCCATAAGGCCTGTCAGTAAATACTCATTTTAAATTGCGAATAAATTTATGGGTGACCTCTTTGGCTGCCAGGGTGATAGAAGCAAAAATGTTGGAGTTGTTGATATAGAGTACATTGTCCATAAAGGACTTCCCACGCTCGGTGGGTCTGGTGAGAATAAGGTAGTGGTCTGTCCCAATCCATCTCATAAAATACAGAGATGGTACATCAGAAAAAAATGGGGGTAAAAAGAGAGAGAGCCACCAGGTCCAAGGGTAGTGCATCTTGTACTCCAAGCTGCATCTACTGTCTGTGCACATAAACGGATGGTTGGAAATTAACTTTAGCTGGATGGATATCCATGCGGCCCCACCCTAGTTAATCTCCAACCATCCATTGGCAGGACCTGATAGTGGATATAGCCTTGGGCTATCATAGCATATCCCATTGGAGCGTGTTAAGTTTCCTGATATTAAGTGGCTTTTACCTATATAATTTTGCATTGATTTCCATTTATTTCTATAGACAGAAGTTCATAATCGGGCTCCGTCGCGTTCAAGAGGCCGAGTGAAGTCTAAATCTTCGGTATGATTGCCTATTTTAAATCTGCTAAGAGTGTGTGTGTGTGTGAGGAGAAATTGTTGGTATGATCCCCGGGAGCACAACTATTGATGCTCTCCTCACCTGCAATATCACTTTATGGGGAACCCAGAGAAGGTCCGAATCAGTCACTCCAACATTCTCCCCCAAACAAAAGTTCTATTTGGAGCTCCCAAAGTCCTTATCCATCATCTCCCCAAAATCATAACTGGATGGTTCATTTGAATGGACAGGAATTTGGGGATTTGGAGGAGTTTTGGAGCTCCAAGTTGAATCTTTTCTCTAGGAGACCGATGAGGGCGCTTTTTGGAACTTTTCTGGGTTCCGGCAGAGTGGTGGTTGTGGTCACTTGTTGGGGCTAAGATGAAAGTTTGCTGTAAATCAATGCTTGAATCTCTAAGTGGATGGACAATTGTGCATGACCCTTCTTGTTGGTTAAACGTTGCACCTTGTTTTAGCCAAGGGTAAAAAGGAAACTTTAAGTGTTTGTATGCTGTGGCACATGTATCAAACTTAACATCATGGTACGTAAAAAATAAAATACTTTCCCAATTAAAGAAATTCCTTCTGAAAGAAATGTCGACATTGGAGCATTAATGTGCTGTGATTGGTGTAATTATGAATGTTGGACCTTGCTTATGCTTTATTTTTGCTGCTGGTTTTGGCAAATCACGCAAATCACAATGTTCTTCTACCCAAAAGATAACTTTGTGATACATGGGCTAATATCTGAAAATTTCAGTTTAGGGGTGATTACGATATTGTAAGCATTTACTAGAACTCCTCTATCTTTGGGTGGATTTTGCCACCTTGTAATGACCCCGATCACATCAAATAGCACCAGTCAGTTGATGTTGAAAGGTTGTGGTTAGTGACCCAAAACATCAATTCCTACTAGAGTCATGAGTGGGAAACTGGCCCCCTATCTATTTATTTTTGAATGATTCGGACCCAAGGTTCAATCGACAAACTGTTGGTCCAATTGAGCAAGTGCCTTTGCTGATTTGGTTTCCTGCTTTTAAATTGTTAATATAAATGTTGCTTATCTTTGATCATCGGTCTATTGACAAATGTATTCCTTTCACTGAATTCTCAGGCTTCCCCATCTTCTATGTTCAGCGATAGATCTCAGGTGGGTCTCGAAATTAACTTCTTTCATTGGGTAAATGAAATCAATATTTCTGTTTTTATATGAAATTAAGTACAAATGTAAAAACGCAGGTTCGATGGCAATCATACACTGAGCAATTTGAGTTTTTACGGAGATGGAAAGAGGCAGTGAGTGGGGATAAATGTTGGATAGACCCATATCCACAAGAACAGAAAAATAAGAGACTGTAGCGATGTAGAATGCCTGTAAATTGATTTCCCATTCTTTTGTGTAATAGTCAGTTATTATATATATAATAATTTTTGGTCTTCTTCGGCTCATGTATTTAGTGAATTTTCCTTATCCTTTGGCGTTTTTTTCCTTTTTATTTTTATATTTTTCTTTTTTTTGGCCTCTTTCACCATCACACCACTAGCCAAAAGATATCATTTGTCAAATATAATCTCTATTAACATAATAAATTTTATTACAGTAGTTATTTCGGGACTAAAGATAAATTATGTACACAAACAAATTTCTTTGGATTTTCATGAATTTGCATCGACCTTCCGAGGGGCCATTCACGACTTACACTTGCCACTCAACAGAAAATGAGGGCTTTGATTTCGGGATAGAGGCAGGCAAAAGAGAGATGAGGTTCCATCTATTGGGATAGAAGTAGGCGAGAGATGAGGGCTGTGGTTTGCATTCCTCAAGATAGAGGAAGGAAAAGAGAGATTTCTAGGTATCTAGATAGAAGCTACAATTAGGCATAGTTGCAATAAGCAATGCAATGGGTAAGGATAGGGGTACGTACATTCAAATGGAGTAGAACTTTTAAAAGCATGGATGGATTAGGGTAGATACCTATTGATTGGTCCTTTCAAACTGGGAGTTTAATGTAATTCATTCCTTAATCCGTTGTAATGATTCCTTGCTCCGTCGTAGTCTCTCTTTCCCTTTTTGATGAAGTGACTTTTATGTGCTATTACGCTATGGGATGTATACAATGGGACCATTTACGTATTTTCTTTCAACCATTTGATGAACCGTTTGATGTGAAATTTGATAGCTTGGATGTATCAGAAATTTTTTTTTGAAGTTTGAGCTTGGTCAATGGAATAATTGTAACCACCCAATTTCACATTCAATGATCAAGAATATTGTAACTACTTTGTATCAAAGATAAATTGTCTCATTCTATATTTTCTTTTTTACAATATTAATTTAGTTGAAGAAAAACACTATTAAGTATTCTTTCTTATTAAGATTATGAATTTTTAATTCTTTTAGTCACTTTATTTCTAATTTTCAAATGTAAAATATAAGTGTGTGGAGAAGTTTGCAGGAGAAGAATGGATATGAGACTGCAAGACAATCTTTGTTCTCCACCATTCGGTTGGAAAGAATGGACGGTGGAGATTGTAAGAGATAGCAATGCAATCTTTGCTCTCCACCTTCCGGTCGGAAATTGATGATTTCCAGGTCATTATTTCCAAATTGATTTTGATATTGATAAAAGAAATATTATTTGTAGATCGTACTTTGGAAATTTCTTTGAAAAAACCACGGTGAAGGGACGGGGGTGGGGCGGTTTGGATTATAATTAATAAACTAGGGAATAACAACAAATTGACACGGTATTCAGTTTGCACTACTTATGGTCAGCCCACCTAAATCTATTTTCTCTCTTTTTATCTCCTATTGGTGGCACATCTATGTTTTTTCGAATGTGTTTATTTTGAATTCTATCCCTTATTGTCTTGCCATTCATCCATCTCAACATCTTTATCTTAGCTACACTCATCCTATGGGTATGTTGCTTCTTGATGCCCAATATTCTGTCCTATAAAACAAATCTAGTCTTACGGTTGTCCTATAAAACTTTCCCTTCAACTTATTGGTATGCAGTGATCACATAAAACTCAAGTTGCATATCTCAACTATGCCCACCTAATATAAATTCTATATGTGACATTTTCCTCAATCTTTCTATTTTCATGTATTATTGACCCAAGATATTGAGAGTATACTCTTTTTGGTATTTCTTGGCCGTCAATTTTAACTACTTCTTCGTCTCTACTCCTATTATTATTGAACTTGCATTCCATATACTCTATTTTAGTGTAGCTAATTTTAAAACTTTTAAATTCTAGAGCATCCCTCCAAAATTCTAACTTTGTGTTGATGCTAATTTAGGTCTCATCGTTCAAAACTATGTCAATCCGAGAACAACGTACACCATAGTACCTCATCTTGTAGGTGCTAGTTAAGTCATTCATGGCTTAGACAAAGTGTTATGGACTCAATGATGACCACTAATGTAGACCTAGCATTATTGAAAACTCACATGTCTTTCTACTAGTTGTTGGCACACTAGTTAGCCTTCTCTTATATATATCTAGTCAATGTAGCGCCTAAAGACTATTACTTTTCCGACATCTACCAAATTAAATATTGAGATACTCTATCATAAGTTTTCTCTAGATCAATAAATATCATGTGGGGGTCTTTTCCCTTCACTTTATTGCCTAAGTATGAAAATAATCTCAGTTATTGATCTCATTGGTATAAAACCAAATTGATTATATGATACATTCGTCTCATGCCTTAGTCGTTGCTTAATCACTCTTTCCCATAGCTTCATAGTGTAGGTCGTAAGTATGAACCCTTGATAGTTCCACAATTATGTATTTCTGATTTGTTCTTATAAATAGGTATCAAATACTTTCCTCAATTTGTCTGTCATTTTTTTTGTTTTCAACACCTTGTTAAACAACTTGATCAACCAGTTAATGCACTTCCAAACCAGTTAATGCACTTCCAAACAACTTGATCTCCCCCATGCACTTCTAAACCTCTATCGGGATACCATATAGTTCTAAAGCCTTTCCTATCATCATTCTCTTCAAAGCTTATTTCACTTTCGATATCCTAATCCTACGAATGTGTGTATGACCTCCGCCCAAATTTATGCCAAATATTCCTTCTACTGCTATGTACCCATTCTGTTGTCATTTAATAATTTTTGAAAATAATCTCTCCACCATTCGTTGGCCTCTTCATCCTTAACCAAGACTCATTGATCTTCACTCTTAATGCATTTAATATGATCTAGATCTCTATATTTTTTCTCTCATATTTTTGTTAATTTGAGGATATTTTTTTTCATATTTTCTTGCTACCAGTTGACTGTAAGATTATCAAATGCCTTAAGTTTAATCTTATTATTTTTTAGTGTTTTTCTTAGCATTTATATATTGTTTTAAGTTTTAATCATTTCTATTACATTGCTAAGTTTTATGACATGTTTATTTTTCATTAATGACCTTCTGAACCTCATCACTCCGCCAAGTTTTCTTATCGGAATTTCTTTTCCCACCAATTTTCCTAAAACTTATTTTGCTACTTTCTTAATACAGTCTGGCATCACATTGCACATAACATTGACCTCAAGTTAAGAGTTCTCTTTTCCTTCTGTAACTAATTTATATCTAAATAAGTCCATTTTCTTATTTTTTAAATTCCATCACCTAGTTCTCGGACACCTATTAATTTCACCCCTTCTCTTCCATCTCTTTATGTAGATGTCCATAATCTTATGATCTTTACATGATGGTTGATGTAGCTCCTTAACTAGGAAGAAGTCTATCTGGCTTTTATATGATATACTTTTATAGATGATTAAATGCTCATCTTGTTTTTTAAAGGAAGTATTTGCTATTGCTAAGTCAAAGGCCTTAACGAAATCTAAAATAGTCTTACTTGTCTTATTTCTTTCACCAAACCCATTTCCCCAATGTACACCTTCCTATCCTCTGCGATCCTTCTCTACATGACCATTTAAGTCTCTTCCTAAAAGGTCATCTTTCTATTTGGTATGTCTTGGACAAAGTCCATTCATGTCCCGCTAAAATTGTCTCTTAATTCTATCCTCTAGTCCTACTTGTGGTGCATACGCACTAATTAAGTTAATTATCTCTTCCTCGAATATAAATTTAATCAATAGGAGCCCATCACCTACTCTATTGATATTAACTACTTTATCTTTTAAATCTTTATCTATTATTATGCCTACACCATTTCTATTATTATCCTCTCCTATGTACTAAAGTTTATACTCATATATTTCTTTAGCTTTTTCCTTTTTCTACTTAGTTTCATGTAGACGAACTATGTTTACTCTCCTTCATCTCATTGTATCTACTAACTCCATACTCTTACCTGTAAGCGTTCTTACATTTAATATAGCTAGATGAATCCTATTATCTTAGCTTAGCTTTTTTATCCGCATTAACCTTGCCTATTTTTCATGGCAACTAGGCCGTGTTGTAGCGTATCTCTTCTGGGGAACACCCTAGCTAACCATTGCTCATTTCTCACTATACCTAGGTTCCGGTACAGCTCGTCGCTTACGAGGAATGTACTAGCATAAGTAGATAATGTAAGTTCAGGATTCATAAACAATTTTGACAAAGTTTTATATTGGCTGCCTACTTGACACAACCCATCTCCTTTACCCAGGCTTGGGATGGATTTAGGGAAAATTTAAGGTCCTCACCCTTCTTAGACCAAAGTGCAAACTAAAATATTGCTTTGAATAAGTAAAGAGTTCTTGTTGGAAATAAGAAGATGCGCATTTTTTTATTCCTCAAGAGAACTCGTATAAACTGTTGTTATAATAGTTTGTTTCACCCAACGCTTTTTCGAACTATGAGAGCAGTAGGCAGTCACTAATGTTGAAACTTCTTATCTTTGATAACGAAGTTATCTATGAATCATGACCTACTACTGCATTCCTACATGGTATTTGCTATTGAATTAATTTGTGTTTTATAGACATGGTAATCGGTAGACTGACTTCGAAGTGCCTATCCTGTCGATTTAGCTGTCGTAAACAAATCTAGTATCCATGTCATTTCAAATTGTTTAAACTTCTTTATATTAGCACAATAACCTAATAGAATTAATAACATATATTCCCCTGGTTTGTATGAGTTAAAAGCCAAAACTAGACTGATTTTCGAGGAATACTTTGCCACAGATGATATTTCCTCAGTAGCCAATGAGATAAGAGATGCCTTGTAGAATAACACTACTACTTTGTCAAGAAGCTCCTCCATGGCTATAAGTAGGTAGTATAGAAAGAAAGAAATAGCAACTTTGCTCTTATCCTCTCAATACTGATGTTATTGAACCACCCTAAGTATATTGAGGCTTTAGAAAAGTAGTTGAAGCCCCTGGCGACTTAGCAGTACACATATCCGATGCTTAGATATTCACCCTCCTGCCTTCACGAACAAACAACTTATCACTCTCCCTACATAATTC